TTTTTTTTTTTTGGTTTTTGCCCAACCCCATCCCCCTCAAAAATCCAATTGTCACAAGAGCGAAAACACCGGTCTATGGAATCAGTCTATATAGATACGGTTGTGATCGAAAATTTGTAAAAAAAAATCCTTCTTAACTCATGTTTCGGATCGTAGTTAACAGATGCCGCCGAAAAACTACAGTTTTATTCCTGCTTTTAGCAGGAATACTGATTCTGGTGCGGAATATTGCCCAACGAAAACGACGAGAAGAAGAAATTCCAACAATAGCTGTTTTAATCAGCCAACGTGGTCATCCGCATATACCTCATTATATCTCCTCAAAACATCTCTACAACTACACAGAAACTCTTCGAATCCAAACATTAAGAAAAACTGGAGTATTTGCATCTGTCAATTCTGGTAGAGCAGAACAAATCAATATCCATTTATGGTTCAACTTGTGTGGTTCAGATTTGAGAACACTTCTCTACTTTCCATGTTTTCCCAACGTCCCTTCAGCAAGAAAATTATATCCAAGTTTAGAGATTAAAAATTTAGGGGAAAGCTATGGGAAACGTGTATTTGGTTTTATCGTAGCTCCTGAAAGCACTGGGGTTTTATTTCGTTTGAAAGCAAGTGGAACAGCGGAATTCTGGCTCAGCTCAGACAAAAATCCTCAAAATTGTAGGAGAATACTACAGATTGCTTCACCGCAAGGCACAGACTTTCTAATTAGTGATGAGTTTATCGAATTAAAAAGGTCTAATTTTTACTATTTCGAAATTCTACACAAGCATGGTGGTAGCCGGGAAAAGGATTTTATTAGTTTAGAGTGGAAATTTGGCGAAAAAAATAATTTTCAGCAAATTTCAGCCAAGTATTTTCATGGATATCAAGATGACCTTCACATTGCAGGAGACGTCGTAAATCCTAAATCTTTCCCTTTAGCTGGTCTTAAAATCCATAGAAAAAATATCTCTGAGAGGGCAAAAGTTGCTAACGAGATATATCACAGAGAAGACATTTATCAACTTCCATTTTTCCCTCAACAGCTTATAAAGGATTTATTTCCCAAGTGTCCTTATAAGCCAAAGTATTTAATAAAACGCAAGTTGGAAAGATATGGTTCCAAATGGGAGAACATTTATTCTTCATTATACCCATCTGATAATTCTAATGTCACAGAATCAAATGGGTTTGTTACTTTTGGTAATGATGTTCTAGGAGAGAGTGAAGCTTTGAAGGTCGTTGATATGGTGAAAAAGCAGTTTGTAGACAAAGGATTGAGGTATGGTCTGATTTGCCATAATTAAGTGGTGTTGTCATTGTTATGGGGTGGTATGGGTCAGACAGACACAACATAAGAGTTAATGAACTTAGTCTTATACAATATTTTACCTGCCCTTAAGGTATCAGGGTACCCCTAGCGACCAGTGTGCATTAAACTCTTAATAGCGCAAAACCTTTTAATCAAAACCTCAACAAAGTATACATTTTCTGAAAGCTGAATAAATGTAGAAACTATTCCTTTTTTTGCTTTTTGTAAAATAAATTTATCCTTTTAAGTTAGAGCGAATTATTCAAATTTTCACCTAGGCATCTTCGCGGAGTTCGATGACAGCTGGTAATGATCGAAAACCAATGCTTATTACCTTTCCAAGATCACAAGACATCACTTGTCAAAATTGTGTCTCCGATTTTTGATTAGTTGCCCCGTTGCATTTTTATACGCTCCTAAAGTTATGACGCTGCTATATCAGCTGTATCCGAGCCAAAATCCAAGATAACTTTGGAAGTAAACAAAAAATCAAAAATCGGAGACACACTTTTGAAGAACGACTATCCAAGATGACTTCCTCAAAATTTCAGTTAAATCGGTTAAATTCCCTTTGACAACAAACTCAAAATATACGTGTAACTGAACGCAAAATCACTTCCGAGAAAAACGCAAGATTGTTTTTCAAGCCAAGAAGTGCATTTGTTGACATAAGGAGATTAGGGACACCAAAATGTGTTCTCGATGACAGATAAAGTATCCAGAAACCAAGATCGAATTACTTTATCACTGTTATTCAGGGCGGGAAGTTCAGATAAACTCCCAACTGAACTTTGCTTATTCAGTATCGCTCAGTAGTGTTTTTTAGGCATTCATCGCTAGTATTATTCAAGTTCAGACATTTTGTTCGCTCAGGGTATACTTTTTATTTTTAAATGTACGCCTAACTAAAGAGAAAAGCAAGCAAACAGCAGGGAATCAAAACAAAGGTCCAAAAGCGTCCAAGGTAAAACAACAGTGGCTGATAGAGATGTAACGACGGATCGTTGACAAGTGATGTCAACAATAAATCGAAAACTATTAAAGCTAAAAAGTCGTTTTTCATTTATTTCTCGCTATTAAATAACGCTATTGGAAAATAGCTTTTGGAAAATGATAGCTTATCGTGCATTTTCTCGCAAAATGTAAAAACCTAAAAATCAATCTTTCATAGCAATTTTGGGGTACCCTGATACCTTAAGGCTAAGTTACACAAGAGGATTTGCAAAAACAGTTTTTTTGGACAGCACTTGCTCAGTTGATGTAATGTATTCAGAAAATCTGAATGCATTACGTAGGCTGTCCCATGTAACATCCAAGACAAACAAATTGAAGTAAAATTTCAATTTCAACAACACTCTGTGAGTTTTCATTCCAAAGTCAAAACCTTGCAACTCAAAATAAAGAATTTTTTGCATCATTGCATGAAAAATCTTCTTGCCTTGTCTCATGTAGTATCCCCTTCATACAAACTGAGTATAAATAGACACCATAAATGCAATAGCATTTGCCAGCTTCAGTATCTTAAGTCTAAGTGATATTTCCAACCTTTACTAACCTTGAGTTCTGTATTCTTATAGGGATTATGAGCTTCAGAATATCATAAATATTGAGTCAAAACATTATCGGTATCTTGTGGAATTACAGTTCCGTAACATCAAGACTGAAAAAAGCTTCCAATTCTCAGAGTATCTTTACTTGCCAGAAAGAAGCAGCAGTTTATGCTATCCTGAAGGTTTCAGCTGGAACAAGACCAGCATGGTCAATTTTTTGGTTACATCTGGGCACAACCAGGCACGATGGGTCTATCATTTCATTAACAACATGGACAAAATTTATAAGGAGACCAAGGATGTCAATTTTAATATTATCATCAATGATTTCCTGAGTCCTCATGCAGATTTGAAGCAAGCTTTAGAGAGCAGCTCATTACCAAACTACATGCTTTTAACTACATCAGGGAGGTTCCATAAAACTCTTGGTCTTCAACAGGCTGCCAATGCTGTCACTGATCCTCTTGGAATCGTTGTTATCCTGGACTTGCATCTTGATGTCCCTGCTTACTTTGTTGATGATGTGCGCAAGGTATGAAAATGGTTCGATATTCTAGAGTATAAGATCATATTTATTGGAAGTTGGAAAGTGAACACTGTCCTGTTTAATAGCAAATATCAGTAACACTCCATTGCCTTCAAACAATCATCTGTCACCTTTACTGCACACCCTATTCCGTCTCATCTCTACTCCACACCCTATCCCATCTTCTCTCAATACCCTCCCTTTAATTCTCTCCCTCTCCCTCTAACACCGACCTAACCTCTAATCCACTCACATCTTCTCTCAATACCCCTTAACCCTACTGCACACTCCATTCCTTTGTTATTCAAATACACCTCACCCCTACTCCACACCCCATTCCTTACCCCAGAACCTTTCACCTCACTTTGCACTTCATCCGGTCACATCACTCCTAAATTCTTGTGTTCCTATTTTTAAGCAATTTATTTTATATCTTTGTCATCAGCATACTGTCTTGGGACTTCAAGCCTATTCCCCAGTACTGGCGCGTCTAGAGTGTGGCTCAAATGCAGTAGTGAAGATGGGTTCATACTGGGAGTTCCATGGATATGGAATGGTAGGAATATACAAAAAAGACTGGGACAAGTTTGGAGGCATGAATATTGAAGAATTCAAGTACAAATGGGGAGGAGAGGATATTGAAATGTATGACAGAATACTAATGGCAGGATATGAGGCAGATAGGAAAAAAATTGTAGGATTACATCATTATTTTCATTCAAAGAAAGGTATGTGGAACCGCTAGATTGGAACTACACTCTTTGATGACAATTATTTCTCAAAGTTAGTTTAAGAGCATTTGCCTGATCAGTTAACTGTCTTTGCAGCAATGATGAAAAGGTAAATTATACACCGTGAAAAGATGAAAAAACTTTTTGAAAAAATAAAAAATAAAAAAAAAAAGTAAGTTTTTTCATCTTTTCATGGTGTATAATTTACCTTTTCATCATTACTGTTTCATTAGAAACACCGACGCAGCTCACACTAGTTTTTAGCTAGTTATATCTTCTTGTCTTTGCAGCACTTCTAGTAACCTCCCAGTGAAATCTGGAGTTCCTCGAGGTGATATCTTGGGGCTGGTATTATTTGTATTTATGTTGAGTTGCAGAGCTATAACAAAATCACTGATTAGAGTGAACAAAAAGTCAATATGTTTATGGTATAGCTTAAAATTAATTATAAAATACATCTAGATCATTTATTTTTGAATTTTATTCAACGCTGAACAGTTATTTTAGTGAGAAAAGAAAGCAAAAAAATAGTTTTATATGGAAGTCTCAAACAAGGTTCAGGTAATGCTATCTGTATTATTTATTATAGTGTTTACAAATAAATAGATAAATAGAAGAGATTTATAGTGTAATAAAATAACCAGCTCCATTATGGTTATTTAATGATTGGTTAATCAAGGCAGAATGACAGAAAATTAGAGAATCCCCTTCCTACGAGAACCTACGAAAATAAGCCCCTTGTCACATGATTCTTTTGTTCTGAGACCAAAAAGACACCTTGGGCAAATTTAAGCGCAGGGCTTGTTTTCAGAGGTTTATAGTATTTGAGAATTATTTGCCGAAGGCAAACTGAATATCAAATTTAACGAGACACAAGTCTTCTAGCAGAGGTAAATATTTCCCGATATTCACTGAGCCTTGCTTTAGTATTTTTAACACAAGTGAATATAATAAATAATGGGAGAGAGTTTATTTCGTTTTTTCAAATTTTATTTATCTCTGCAACTAGTGGCAAGAATCGACAAATGAGCATGTGAGTGCGCACTTAATTCACCTGTAAGTGAATATAGCAGCATAAGATGTAAATAATTGTTACCAATGAGCGTGCCAGATTTATTATATCCACTTATGTAAAAATACTAATATGAATTTTTCTTCCTGCCATCCAACAAAGATACCTTTATAATTATATGAGAATAAAAGATCTTCTGTATCCATTTTTGATTTTTTTTCTACCAATTTGGTGCCCATATTAGTATAGGAAATCGCACGATCTCGAGTACAATTTGGAAATTAATAGACACGAGTAATGTTTTGAAAGTTCTTGTAATTGCACGAGCCTTTAGGCGAGTACAATTGAAGAACTTTCAAAACATTACGAGTGTCTATTAATTCCAAATTGTACGAGAAGATCGTGCGATTTTTTGTTTATAGTTCACTCAACAAAATTTCAGTAAAAAATGCGAAGCGACGCCGTTCATCTTTGTCTATTTGGCGGCCGATTTCCAGTCCATCGTGCAACTGAAATGCATAAAAAAGATGAGTTCTTACGGCTTTAAAAGCTTATTTATGCTTTTTAAGTACAAAATGATAGAAARTAATTGTTTTGACATTGTTTTAGCCGTGTTGCCATAGCGACTTAATTCGGAACTCCTACGGAGTACAATTAACGCTATAATTGTACTCCTCTCGACCAATCAGAGTCGAGTAATTTTGTTGAGTGTACTATAAGTAATTTAATCATAATTTTGTAATTTACAATTTTTTTCTAATTATTTTTATGATATTTTTAAGATTCATTTCTTTCATGTGTATATTATTTAAGAATGTACCCATAATTTAAGCAGCAAATAAACATGATATATTAACAAATACAATCTGCCGTCAGAACGATGTTCAGGGTCATTTATTTTCACCATCAGCGCGGTCTACTGGTCGTAGTTTGTTGATAGTACTTCAGGATTATGCTTGTGCAACCTATAGACAATAAAAATGACACCTTCATTTGTTCTGTTTAAAAGTCAAGCAGTCATACTTGTCATGCAAATTACTGAAAGTCTTTGAGGGACTGGTACCACAGGGTTTGCCATAATTGTCTTAATTGTCCTAATTCATCTTAGTAATGATAAAAGGGTAAATTTTACACTGAAAAGATGAAAAAACTTACTAACGTTTCGGACGCTAGTCCTTCATCGAAGTAAAAGAGGAGTTCTTTTTTTCATCTTTTTCACGGTGTAAAATTTACCCTTATATCATTTATACTAAGATGAATTAGAAACACTGATGCAGCTCACGCTAGTTTTTAGCTTGTAGTTATCTCTCCTAATTCATCTTAGTGCAATGTTTTCCCATTAGGGATCATGCTTCATTCCCTAGAGTATAATTTCTTTGTTTAATGGTTGTGCAGGAGACGACACATCAAAATGGATACAAGTCTAACAAAGCATCTTATTCTCGAAAAAATGATGTGGTTTGTAATGGGAGAACATTGTACCACAACAAAATAGGTCTGGGTCCTGTCCATTCGGATCTACCATTGAAGCACATTTGTACTTTACCTACCACTTCAAAGTAACCATTCTTTCCTTTCTTGGCAGAGGACTTACTTCTGTGGACAAAAGCAGAGGATTAGGAAAATCTTTATCATAAACAACATGTTTCCTGCCCTTTGCACTACTGAATAAAAAAGTGGAAATGTAGCCAGAATTCTTTGTAAGACATTTCTTACCCTTTGGTGAAGATTATCTTGCCTTTCTTGCCATTAAACATGTTGTGTGAAATTCTGTCAAACAAATGTAGATAAATAAGATATTTGAACCAAATAGAGATTTTATGTTTTCTTGCTTGACTATCAAAAAAGTAGTCCACTTGACCTCGAGGTTTAATTATTATTTAACATGACTATTATTATGCATCCTTACTCTTTACCAGTAGTCAGTAATTTTACTAAGTGTATTGTAAACAAATCAGTAGCGTGTGTCACATTATCACGAGGTGCAATTTAGTGTTCACTATTACCTAATAAGGTTTATCTATCGAGGAAAGGTATGCGTATGAGGTTGGTCATATAATCTCATACGCCCAGGGTTCAACCACATTTAAGCCCTTGCGAGCACACTTTCTACTTCGTAGCGTCGAAAACCATCAGGTAAGCGTTCCGTAATAATTTTTGACTCCTTTGACTTCATCCTAAGTGTAATTAAGATGGGGGAGGTGCCGAAGGTACTCATTTTGGGTCATTCCTTTGTACGACGCCTAAGCAGTGATCTAAAAGCTCGTTTTGACCCTCGAGTTGATCCGTTTTTCAGTTTACGGGGAACAGCACGTATTATTATGCATGGTATTGGGAGTCGAACAGTTACAAAGATTAGGATTTATGACCTGCACGTGGTCCGTCGGCACTCCCCTGTTATCTCCCACAACTAGACTGTTTGGGTAATAGATCTTTTTCAAGTTCCAAATTATCAGTGTATTCCTTGATTACAAACTCATTTACTCTGGCTTAGCCATATATGTGTCTAAATATTCACAAAAATCAATGGTTAAGTAAATATTTCACAACTTCAACAATACAAACCCTTTGAAATTCCAGGGACCTTCATTGGAACACATGACTATTTTGCACAAAGTCAAAGCTAACCCTGAACAACAAAGAACTTGAAACTGGAGTGTTTACATGACAACAATGGGAAGCCCACTGTTATTACTTACTCATTTGTTTCAATTTTGAGCAGTTCTCTTTTGTCAAGTGCCACAATAATTTGAACAATTGCCTCCACGACATGACTTGTGCTAAGAATGAGATCACCCTAAAAAACAATGAGGATTTGGGTATTGAAATACAGAATAAACTTCAAAAATCAATATATTCCTAAATTCCAATTCCATGTCTCCTTTCTCACTATAATGGAAAAACGTGGTTATGATTGTTTAACTTGTAAAGAAAACGTTGCACAATATTTTTTTAATAACATGAAAGTTCTTGCATAGCAGAACTATTGAAAGAGTAGTTTACATCAAGAAATAGAGATTTCACACAAAAATACCTTATCTTCTTTGTCGGTGCCAGCAATATGAAGAACGAAAACGTCATCTTTTAAACTACTCACAGAAATTGCTGCAGAAAACAATAATACACTTAAAAACAAGAACTTTGGGAAATAAGTTATAAAAGGGTGCAACCTACTCTGCAACTACACATGCAAGTTTAATGTAATAACTTCCTATTAAGTGTAGCAATCTTTCTTTCCCTTATACTAACTCGTTTTCCCATGTCATCAATTTATTCCACCACCTAATCCCAACAGCCTGTTTATCTGTTAAGCCTAATTTCCCACTAGTGACACAGGCAGATTAAATTTTAAAGCTAGTGCATGTTCTAATCACTATGAAAAGAAGCGATGCAACCGCCAACGCATTTTATCTTGCATTGGCTTGCGCTTGTGCGTATGCTTGTGTCAGCTTGTGCCACAATGGAGAAACAGGTTTTATTCCCACTTGTCCCCCTCCCCCTCCCCTTAAAAAGTCTAGTTGATCAAAACCCCTCACCAACCTTTCAAGGCAGAGTAAGACAGCTTGTGTTTCTGTTTGAAATTCTTGTCATCCAGCAGATAAATTGCCTGAAAGAACATCATTGAAATCATATAAAATACTACCATGTATGTGTTTGGAAATAACTCATAGAGATCTTTAGCATGAGGTTTACCCTTAACCCAGGTGCATGGTGAGATCTCGATTATAGGGAGGGCGACAATTTACTATTTTCCCGCCAAATCCACAGGAATCTAGCCTGCTGTGCAGACACTTTTAGTGTCGGCTCGTTTCCTTTCCCTCCCCACAAACGTCTGCTCAAACTAGCCACACATTCCTTTCCCTTAGATTTACCAATCCCGGAATCCTGCATGAATTATTTAAATTTTGGTGTCGACTGCAACCTTTTGGGGGGCACGTGGCCCCCGTGCCCCTCTTCCTATGCTAGTGCGCTAACTGCCAGGGATCAGGCCCTTAAAAACGCCCGCAAACACAGAGAAACACGCAGCATCAATAAAATTCAATATGGCGGCTCTTCAAGCAACAATTCGTTATGACGCCTTGCTAAATGATGGACGTAAACACGTAAACGCCTGTGGTCGAACTGCAGTTTGAGATTTGCGGTACCTAGCAAGAACGTCGTGCTAAAGGTCTCTATTATCGTCTACTCTCAAGACCAACGATTCTCCAAATGGTAGCCACTTTATAACTGAAGTAACTAAACTCACATGTAAGACATAAACAGAAAACAGTGCGCACGAATACAAAGAAACGT